GAGTGCTCAAGAACTTCCGCATCTTCAGAAAGGATCGTAGTGCCTGCCGGACGTGCACGACAGCGACAGTGTTGCAAGTTACCTCATTGCCATCATCATGGAACAAAATCAATGGAAGGAATCGCTTCCGTGCCTGGCTGGGGTCGTCGCCGTGCGCTGGGTCTTCGTGCTCCTTGTGCAATGGCATGGCAGCTACGGGATCTGAGTGCTGCTGTTGCACCGGAGCCGGTTCTCTCCGTTCTTTCCCGATGTAGACAATCTATGCTAGCTAAGACCCAGCTTGCTTCGAGCCGACACCGAATCGAAGATTGCACTCGCTGCTCGGCTGGTTTGGACTCCATGCGACGAACCTCAGCAGACGCTCTCTTTCGTCCTCGCCGCGGCTGTCGCCGCCTGGGTCTGTTAGCCGAGCTCTACTGTGGCTTCCTATGCGCGCCATGATCCGATGCCGTCCCAGACGTGCTCTATGTGTTTCGCGTACGAGTAGACCGGAAGCGGAGCGTCGGTGTCAAAGTCCTCGCCGCACATGGCGTGCTGCAGCGCGTAGAAGTTGAACTGCATGCACCCCTTGCCGCCCCGCTCGTACAGGGTGCTGCCGGCTTTGCGTTGCACTGGGAAGGCCTCGGCCGTGGGCAAAGCTGCCGCATCCCAGAGCTCCCGGAAGGATGGGTAGTGGAACCATGCCAGGTGCTCCGAGCGCCAGCCCATATCTTTCATCACCCAAGTGAAGGTGGGCTGCGGTTCGGAACTCTTTGCCGGGGCATCGCTCATGCGGCGAAGCCAATCCCGGAGAGCCTTCTGGGACGGACAAGGGTGCTGTCGCACGAATTTCTGAAGTATCTTCTCCTCCTTGATCACTTCGCGTCGTACTTGCGGATCGGCCTGTGCCCAGGGGTCGGCCACTGCAAATGGCCCGATGGTCACGGGCCGGCGCGGAGATTGAGGTGGGATGGGGTTCCCGAGATCCTCTTCGTCGCTGCTCGACTGGAGTCGATCCCACTTGGAGTAGTCGATGGCCGACAT